TGTTGGAGCTAGGTGTGAATGTTTACATAGATGCAGGTGAAACGTCAGGAGAGAATGCCTATAGAACATGGCCATATAGCCCGAAAAAACCTACAACAACCCAGAGTGAATGCAGTTTGGCTCTGCTTTAACTCTCATGACTCCATCCATGGAAATGTGGGAATTGGCGTTTCACATACCATTAGCTTTCTCTGCCCAAAATTCAAATCTCTAGTGCTATCTCACATTTGGCTCCATTTGGATGTCTCTTGATGTTGGCGGGCCAGCACAAAACTCTTTGGACTGTTGTTGTTTGTAAACATAGGTTCATGAAATGATTTCTAGTTTCCAAATTACAAACCCCCTGAACCGCTGCAAGTCGGACAGCAAGTGTCCCAGAAGCAAGCAAAAATACAGCAGAGATGGGCTGAAACATAAACTGTTCTGGCCCAGGTTACCTGACTGAACGCATCTCTCCCTATGAACCAACTAGGTGCTTAAGATCGTCTGAGGAGGCCCTGCTCTCAGTCCCACCTTTTTTGCAGATGCGACTGGTGGGGATGAGAGACAAGGCCTTCTCAGTGGTGGCCCCTCGACTATGGAATGCCCTGTCTAGGGATATCAGATCGGCTCCCTCCCTCCTAACATTTCGAAAGGGAGTTAAAACCTGGCTGTTTGAGCAGGCATTTGCAGATACAGTGTAACAGATTAATTTAGATCCATGGAACGTTTGGATGACACGACGGAAAATGATTTTTTGATGAGACGCTGAGGACTTGTGTTTTATGGTTTTTATTGTTATATTGCTTTTATATGATCTATATTATATGTAGTGCTTTAATTATATTTTATGTTTTGCGGGTGTTGACTGCCGTCTGCAAACCGCCCCAAGTCGCCTTCAGGTTGAGAGAGGTGGTATATAAATATAGTAAATAAATAAATAAATAAGCAAACATAATAATAATAATAATAATAATAATAATAATAATAATAAAACAAACAAACAAACAAACATATGCTTCACCCCATCTATCAGCAGAGTCCAACTGCCAGCTTCTGACCTTATCTACACACCCTTTAGTAAACTCACGGATTCGGGTTTTTATCCAAAATATCCCAAGACTTTAATCTTCACAACTGCAATGTACGATCAGGATATGCAGATCCACTTTTAGGCTTGACTTTACAAATGATCAGATCACAGAGAGTCACACACAGAATACTCACAATGAGTCACGCAGGAGAGCGAAAGATGGAACCTTTCATCCCCCTTTTATAGCTACCTGCTGATAGGTCATCAGTAAGGCACACCGATTGATGTCACCCCTTTGTAATACACCTCTAATGGTTATGACTCAGCCATTACCACATTCCCTTAGGTATTGCCTCATGACATTCATAGCCTTTGCCCAGGTGCTATCAATAATCCACATGTCCATCAAAATCCCTGCCACTGAAGCGTCCTGAACGCTTATATGACTAGAAATGCTGTGCCATTTTTATGTAACAGTTTGGTGCGATGGTCTCATGGGCGATGTCATTTTGCAAGGTCTGCCAAAGGGTAATGGTGCTAAGTCCTAGAATTCCATAGCATTGAGCCATGGCAGTTCAAGGGGTGTCAAACTGCATTCGTTTTGCGATGTAGAGTTATCATTAGTCCCTCTCTCTCGCCTCAACTCCGTCTACCTGTCTCATGGAGAAGGAATAGATGCACAACTCCGATCGATGCCACATGTGCTCCCCCCCCCCCCAAAATCAGAACAGAAGCAGCACAGAAGGAAGCGGGTGAGACAATTGCTGGCTTCGACTGCAGCACATTTCACTTGTGGGCAGGGGGCCAGCCGGGCTGATTGGGATTCTGGGCTGGGCCTCGCTTCCGTTCGGCCGACAGCTGTAAGCCAGCGGCCCATGGCATCTCAATCAGGCGTCGGGCTCCGTCGGCGCATGCCGAGACGGACGGGAAGCGGCTTCCACCGCCCTCCGCCTCCCCGAAAATGACAGTCCGTCTCAGCTTCCAGATGACAGGGACAGGATAACAAATGCAAAACAAATGGTGACCTTTCCAAAGATTAATTTGTTTACAAACAAAAAAAAAAGCTCAGTGTTTGTCATCCAGGATTAAGGTGACCTTCGCATCCCCATTTCTAGGTTGAGAGGAGGCAGAATGCAGTCATCTGTTCGCATCCCTCCATCTCAGCAATTATTCCTTTCTTTATTTTGGGGCGAGAGGGAGACGTTATTAATTCGTCAGTGTTTCTCGTTGCGTTTTTGGGATGCAGCAAATGTATTGCAAGTTACTACAGTGGAACATCAATTTGTTTAAGTCTTGTTCGGCTCCTGGTTTAGGCTTTTTCTCCGTAACTGTAGAGTTTTAAATGCACATTGTTTCTCCCCCAAGTCCTATACTTCACCTGTCCACTCTGATGCTCAGATGATACGGTATATTGTATTTCCTCCATTGTAATATGCAATCAGTTGTAAAACACACCCCAATTTCAGAATCACCAACAAAAATGCATAACACACCACGTTATTAGAGATGATTACCATAAATACTCAAATATAAGCTGACCCGAATATAAGCTGAGGCACACCTATGATTCTATGATGCACCACATTATTAGAGATGATTACCATAAATACTCAAATATAAGCCAACCCGAATATAAGCCGAGGCACACCTGTGATTCTAAGATGCACCACATTATTAGAGATGATTACCGTATATACTCAAGTATAAGCTGCTCCGAATATAAGCCAAAGCACACCTGTGATTCTAAGACACACCACATTATTAGAGATGATTACTGTAAATACTCAAATACAAGCCGACCCGAATATAAGACGAGGCACACATGTGATTCTAAGATGAATCACATTATGAGAGATGGTGAGGCACCTTAAATCAGTGTTTCTCAACATGGGGGTCAGGAGCCCTGGGGGGGTCACAAGGGGGTGTCAGAAGGGATGCCAAAGACCACCAGGAAACACAATATTTTATGTTGCTCGTGAGGGTTTTGTGTGGGAAGTTTAGCACAATTCTATTGTTGGTGAGGTTCAGAATGCTCTTTGATTGTAGGTGAACTATAAATCCCAGTAACTACAACTCCCAAATGTCAAGGTCTACTTCCCACAAACTCCATCTGTGTTCATATTTGGGCATATGGAGTATTCTCGCCAAGTTTGATCCAGATCCATCATTGTTTGAGTCCACAGTGCTCTCTGGATGTAGGTGACCTACAACTCCAAAACTCAAGATCAAGGCCCACCAAACCCTTCCAGTATTTTATGTTGGTCATGGGAATTGTGTGTGCCAAATTTGGTTCAATTCCATTGCTGGTGGAGTTCAGAATGCTCTTTGATTGTAGGTGAAATATAGGTTGCTTACCTGTAAACATAGTTTGCCTAGTGGTCACCTGCGGATTTGCACATATGGTTTATTCCTATCCATTGCTGCCTGCGCTCGCGCAGGAATAAACCATATGTGCAAACCGCAGTGACCACGTGGGGAAACTATAAATTCCAGCAACTACAACTCCCAAATGACAAAATCAATTTTTTTTGGTTACGCGTATTCTGTCCAAATTTGGTGTCAATTCATCCAGTGGTTTTTGAGTTATGTTAATCCTACAAACGAACATTACATTTTTATTTATATAGATAGATTGCAAGCAATGGCCTCCAGCCTCCGCTGCCCGGCCTTGACCCCACTATAAGCCAAGGGAGGCTTTTTCAGCTCAAAACAAGGATTGAAAAACTCAGCTTTTCTTCGAGTATATACGGTATATCGTTTCTTACTGAAGGAATACAGTATTGCTGCCTGTTCAAAAATATACATTTTGCATAGATTAATTCAAATCTATGCATACGCACATACACACAAAGAAAAGCAGGAAAAGGGAGGGAAAAGGAGTAATTGGAGTAACTTCGTTAAATGGGCAGAAAAGAAAGCAAACTCATAAAAACCTCGAGATGGCCACCACATTAAATTTTCCTTCATGAATAAATGAGGAGGTTCTAAGTTTCTCTTGTTTATTTATTTGGAGATCGGGACTAAAGTGCCGACATAAGTCTACGGCTGGACAGCGATTGTATGAAAATGAGAAAAGAAGGAAAAGCTCTCCCAGGTCACGGCAATTATTGGGAATTATCTCTATGGCAATTTCAATGGGCGCTTTGCGGGCAACTCAGGAGGCCATGTCAGAAATCACCAGCGGAGGGAGGGGCAGTCTTGTTCGAGGGCCGCCTCTCATTTGCATCTCTTAAGACACACACATACGCACGGTTAACATAATCTGCATGCCATTTTAATTAACGCAGCTAATCTGCATATTTTAGCCACATGTAATTAACATCGGGGGGTTTTTTTGCCTGCGTGCAAACCCTGCGAATCCATACATCCGAACGGCTTGCAATTAACACAATTTACATGCATTTTTAATTAACAGTGTTAATTTGTACAATCCTGGGGCCTGTAATTAACACAACAGCGTGTTTTTTCACAAGCAACGACACCAACGTAATTGCGCGTCATCAATATGACCCGAAAGGTAATTTTTCACCAGTCAGTTGTGACTTAGAGGTTGCCCAATGCCAGGATCATGCAAAAGGCAGAATTTGCCTTCAGTTTTTAATATGCAAAGCTTTTCATTGGGATCTGTTTACACTGGAAAATTGTGTGACCCGTTGGATATTGTTGGATTTTTCCTCAGCATTTCCTGTCTTTATTTACATGGCTAAGACTGATGGGAGTTGCAATCCAACATTGGGAGACGGCATGATTTTTATCCCTCTTTACCCATCTCTATACAACTGATGGTCATCAAGAACGCATAAACTAACCTTTGGGGATCTGAAATCCCTCTTTTTTTCCTTTCCCCCCTTCTTCCAGAAGAGCAAACCTTTCTGGGCTGCAACTATTGCCTCCCAAAATAACAACTGGAAATGATTCCTCGGAGGAGGAACAAAGATAAGCTGAGTATATTTTTATAATCTGCCAAAGGGCATCTTTAGGTACTCACTGGAGATGTCTTCCTTCGATTAATCCATGGCAAAGAGACCCCATAGTTCTCGTTCAGGACGCTTCGGTGGCAGGGATTTCGCGGGTCGCACAAAACCCTCAATGCCATTGAAAGCTTGTGCTGCAAGAAGAAAAAGAACTATATGTGAATGTTAGGAGAAGGCAACAAAAAGGACTCACAGAATACCACTGACATTTCGAGAGGCTGTTTGGGTGCATTATTTAAGACATGTCTATGGGCCGGAAATTACAGTTGGTTCAAAGATCGGCGGCCCGATTATTAACGGGAGCTGGTTACAGGGAGGGGCCAACCTCCCTCCCCGTTTAAACAACTTCACTGGCTGCCAATAAGTTTTCGTTCCCAATTCAAGGTGCAGCTGATCGCTTACAAAGCCCTAAACAGTTCAGGACCTCTTCGAGATCACATCTTCTACAAACCAGCACTCACTTTAAGATCATCTGGGGAGGCTCTGCTCTCGCTTCCGCCGCCGTCTCAAGCGCGGCTGGTGGGAACGAGGGAGAGGGCCTTATCGGTGGTGGCTTATTGGCTCTGGACCTCTCTACCTAAGGAGATCAGATTGGCACCTACCCTATCCATTTTCCACAAGGAGTTAAAAACCTGGATGCTCCGTTGTGCATTTGAGTAAGAAGTTCACCAGGGTATTGGTTCGATCTCGCCATAGCTCCTTGCACTTTAGTTGGCCCTCCCACCTGTAATCCTGTTACTGCAAATGGCTAAGGACATTACCCTCCCAGCTGTGACCTTTTGAATTTGAAGCAAATCTTGCATTTTCCCTTGGCTCTTTCTAGGAACGATTTCACATACCCTGACCCTTCCACATTCAGCACTTAATCTTTCAGCCATTCTACTGTTTTAAAATGTGTATTGTGATTGTGAAATATTTTTTCTGATGTTTGTTGTCCATTTTATTTTTATTTTATCTTATTGTGTGTACATGAATCTGTATTTTTGGGCTTGTCCCCTTGTAAGACACGCCGAGTCCCTTCGGGGAGATGGTGACGGGGTATAAAAATAAAGTTGTTGTTATTATTATTATTATTATTATTATTATTATTATTATTATTATTATTACTAGCTGTACCCGCCATGCGTTGCTGCGGCCAACCTTCCCTCCCTCTTTCTCTCCTTCTATCCCTCCTTCCCTTTTCTTCTTTCCTTCTCTCCTTCCTTCCTTCTCTGCCTCTTTCCTTCCTTCCTTTGCTTTTTGCTTCCATCTTTCCTTTTGTCTTCCCTCCCCTCCCTCTTTCTCTTCTTCCTTCGCTCCCTTTCCTTCCTTTCCTTTTTTTCTTTCCTTCCCTCCTTCCTTCTTTCTCTACCACTTTCTTTCCATCCCTTTTCTTTTCCTCTTTCTCTCCTTTCTCCCCTCTCTACCTCTTTCCTTCCTTCCTTCCTCCGCTCTTTGCTTCCATGCTTACTTCTCTCCTTCCTCCCTCCCTCCCTCCCTCCCTTATTTTCCCCTTCCTTCCTTCCCTCCCTCTTCCTTCCCTTTTTTCTGTATGTAATTTATCTTTTCGTCATTTATCTTTTGGGGGTTTTTAATTCCTTTCCACTGTTTTTTTGGGGGGGTTATGAGAGATGGATACTCATTGGTCTGTTAGGAGTGTTGTGTCCAAATTTCGTGTCAGTGGTTTTTCAGTTATGTTAATTCCCACAAACGAACATTACATTTTTATTTATATAGATGGCAAAAAGCAAGGTTACCAATATGTATTTACGTGGAGATATTTTATATGTGTGTGTGTGTTTATTTTGTACAATTCTACAAAATACCTATTGGATTCTAACCTTGATGGTTGTACATATGTGCATGGTATTTCCACATTCATTCAACTGACTATTGATTCTTTATTTACTCTATTTGTATCCCACCTTTCTCTACCCCGAAGGGGACTCAAGGCGGCTTTATATATTGTAAATTCAATGCCTTTGGACAACAAACAATTGAAATACACTTAAGTTAAAATTAAAATTAAATGCACATTAAAACATATAAAACATTGCATTCACTCTTAAAATCACACCATCCGCAATCATAATCCGGGGCCATTACAAAGATCAATTGCACTATTTACATGCATCTTCTGATATACATCTTTTTTTTAAAAAAATAGCATTCAAGTAATTTTTCATAATAAAAAACCACCCATCAGACATCCATCCCACCACATATTTTCTCTATACTGTTATCTTTAACCACGCACACTGTCGTCTGCAAACTTAATGATCATGCCTTCTAACCCCTCATCTAAGTCATTAATAAAGATGTTGAACAGGACCGGGCCCAGGACCGAACCCTGCGGCACTCCGCTTGTCACTTCTCTCATCCACTCTTAGCCACTGATTGAGGTTCTGGGTTTTTGCCTGCCACTTTTGAACTCTCGCTTGCTGAGGTGTTCCTGCGAGTATCTCTGTAGATCTTAGGAAGCTGTTTCTTGATTTAAGGCACTGGCATGCTGGCTGATATTCAAACAGAGGATGGACCGGAGATGTCACTGTCTTAGTCCTTTCATTATTGGCTGCTACTTCCCGACAGATATCAGGTGGTGCAATACTGGCTAAACAGTATAATTTCTGTTTAGGGGTTAACTTGTTAACCATGATAATTAGTAACAAGGAAGGTTAATTGTTGTCAGTGCTGAAGAGTGGTGGAATGAATTTGTCATGTTCTCATTAATTAATCTGATAAGTATATATTTGTTTAAAAAGACCTCATGAGATTTACAGAGAATGGCATGTTTGGTTGTTAACATTGCCCCCCCCCCCCCTCCAAATTGCATATTCTGTTGGTGCCTCCTTCAAAAGTGCCCTTTTTGGATATTTCTCTTTTAAGCTCCATTGAACTACTGTGCTTCTATCCCATGGAATTCTGTTATTTCAATCTCAAGATATTTAGGATTTTATTTTGCAAACAGCTCTAATGCTATAAAATAGAAAGAGAGAGAGAGATTGTCCCTTCCCAAATTACAAATCCCAGGATAATAATAATAATAATAATAATAATAATAATAATAATAATTATTATTATTATTATTATTATTATTTGTACCTCGCTACCATCTCCCCAAGGGATTTGGTGCGGCTTACATGAGGCCAAGCCCACAATACATCAATAAACAAAACATCAAATAAAACAATCAATACAATACAATTCATATAAATCACATAAACAAAAATAAGCAATAAACATACAAGCATTTAAAAAAACAATGGCCAATTCCAAGGGACAGAGCCATGGCTTTTAAAGTGGTATGAAACTGCTGTAGCCGTGTAGTGCGGCTATACCCTTAAGGGTTTTCAGACTTGAACTTTCTTTTGTATAGGAGAAAATACAAATCATATCCTCCTGCGTGAAATGAGCATAGCCGATTTCTGCTTTGCTCAGCAGCTACATTAATTACTCTGTCAAACTCATCATTTTTTAAATAAACACTCTGGGATTATGGGCCGAGTGAGTTTTCCCCAGTTCAACTTTCTGAGAATTTATTTAGAAAAATAATGAAAAATAACAACAAATATATATATATATAAAAATGGAAATTTAGGTCCTGAAACGAATGAGGATCTGTTTTCATCTGAATGAAACCAATCCAGCTGTGGGGAAAAAAAATCAGACTGCAAAGGAGGATTGTGTTTTACAAGCTCACTTCTGTCTTTATGAATATATGATTTTATATGGTTATAAGAAAGGAGTTTTAGAAGTTAAGATTGGGGGCCCTTCCACACAGCCCTATATCCCAGAATATTATTATGACAGAAAATCCCACATTATCTGAGTGGACTCAGATAACCCACTTCAACGCAGATATTGTGGGATTTTCTGCCTTAATATTCTGGGATATAGGACTATGTGGAAGGGCCCTTGGAATAAAATTATTGCTTTTTGAAGGCATACAGAGGTTGCATTTTATTTTCCCTGCAAATAGGAAATAGAAGGGAACATTTGCACCTGTATCAAAGTGGGAATATTTCCCTATAGCCTTCCCCCCAAAAATTGAAAGAGGCCACAGGTTTATTCTGTTTGAAGCATGGCTGCTCCCATTCTACACTGCCATATAATCCAGTCTTCTACACTGCCATATAATCCGGATTATCAAATCAGATAATCCACATTATCTGCTTAGAACAGGATTATATGAGTCAACGCTGCTATTTAAAATCTAGATTATCTGCTCCAAACTGGATTGTATGGCAGTGTAGACTCATATAATCTATGTCAAAGCAGATAATGTGGATTATTTCTGTTAGTCTGTCTGAGTCCCTCTACGGAGGTAGAGAAAATCGGGATACAAAAGTTTTAAATAAATAAATAAATAATCTGATTTGATTTTTTTTTTCGTGTCAGGAGCAACTTGAGATACTTCAAGTCGATTTTGGTGTGAAAGAATTGGCCGTCTGCAAGGACGTTGCCCAGTGGACGCCAGGATGTTTGATGTTTTGCCATCCTTGTGGGAGGCTTCTCTCATCTGATTTGATAATCTGGATTATATGGCAGTGTAGAAGGGGCCTTAATCGAATTGGTTGAGACTCAATGAGACATTCATTGAAAAACTAGAGCAAAATGTGCTACAGCAGGATATCCCTCCTGCAACAACATTTTTGCAGTTTAATAAACTTTTTTCCATGCTTTATGATAGAACCAATTAGAAAATGGCATTTATAACCAAGGAACAAAAAAAAGTGTTACATAGGCTAGCTCTAAACTGCGGCTCGCTCTCTGTCATTATGTTTGGTTTCTATGTTTTGTGTATATTGTTCATATGCTTTGATGTTTTTACTTTATTGTTATGTTGTTTATTTTATTGCAATTTGTATTTTTGTAGCGTAATTTGTTGTTCGGGCTTGGCCCCATGTAAGCCGCTCCAAGTCCCCATTGGGGGAGATGGTGGCGGGGTATAAATAAAGATGATGATGATGATGATGATGATGATTATTATTATTATTTAAAATCCAGATTATCAAAGCAGTTTTTTTTTTCGTTTCAGGAGCAACTTGAGAAACTGCAAGTTGATTCTGGTGTGAGAGAATATGCTGTCTGCAAGGACATTTACCAGGTGACGGCCAGATGTTTTGATGTTTTACCATCCTTGTGGGAGGCTTCTTTTATGTCCCCGCATGGGGAACTGGAGCTGGCAGAGGGAGCTCATCCACGCTTTCCCTTGATTCAAACCCCCAACCTGTCGGTCTTCAGTCCTGCCAGCACAAGGGTTTAACCCATTGTGCCACCGGGGGCTCCCTCCATCGGGGGCTCCCTATCCACACTATCTGCTTTGAACTGGATTATATGAGTCTACACTGCCATACAACCCAGTTCAAAGCAGATAATCTGGATTTTCTATGGCAGTGGCCAAAGTGTTATCCACTCACACTTTACCATTTGGAAAGTCTGATCTGTTCATGTAAATGTGTACATTCCCTGTTTGTCTTAAAAAGCCCCCAGTTCTCCTTTTCCTTTCCTTTCCCCTTTTTTAAACCTGCCCTGAATTCAGTAGCATAGAGCAGGTAATAGGCATTCACTCATGTCACAAGTATTTAATAATAAAACCCCACTCTGCCATAGAGAACAGCTGGCAAAACAGCACCCAGTTGCTTTTCTTGAATGGAAATTATGACTGCGCTCTTGCTTGTTGGCAGATGCGGGCCGCATGAAGGGTCAGTGGGGCTCCAGCCGCTCAAGGTGACCCATCGGGGCAGGAAACACTGCAGGCCCTGCTCTAAATGAAGCTCAACCATGCATAGTGAAGCAGAGAAGAAAGGGAGCAGGGAAGGCGCAAAGCGATTCTGTGGGCATTAGGAAATATTTCAAACAGGGGTGGCACCCAGATGCTCCTGATCTTCCTCTTCCCCTGCATACCTTCTTCTCACTGTGCAGAAAAGGTATGTCGTTGTGTGTGTGTGTTTTTTTTCAGTGGCTCAAAAAGTCCTTTCTTGGAGAGGCTGGAACAGCCCCATCCTGGAGGGATGAAGTATGCCCAGGCCTTGACTAACAACATCACTGTAAGATCAGTGTAGAAAAACCAACATAGAAAAACCAACGGAGGATTCAGATCATAAGTTGATCCTTGATAGAGTTGGACTCCCTTCTGAAAAAAAATCAATTAATTTGGGAATGCAATTAAACCTGCACTGCTCCTAAAAATCCAGGTCGCTGCAGTGGTCAGAAAAGCTCTTATGTACTAGCTATGTCAATATGATAATGTAAAAGTCCAGTCGTATCCGACTCTAGGAGTTGGTACTCATTTCCATTTCTAAGCTGAAGAGCTGGCGTTGTCCGTAGACACCTCCAAGGTCATGTGGCCAGGATGACTGCATGAAGCACCATTACCTAAAAAAGCCAATGGGATTTTGTGCTGCTTCAGAAGGAGTAGTATGGTGTCTGGATCTAGGGAAGTCATTGTTGCTACTAAGAGGTTGCAATGTACTTTATCTAAGTTGTTGTAAGGATCAATGTTGTTTGTGCTATAACTTTAAGTTGCTGTAAGGTTCAAGGCTGTTTGTGCTACAGCTATTTCAGTTAATTGAAGAGTTAATTGAGAGTGTTATTTTCATGTGTATAAAGATAGCTACTGTGTGTTTAGTTCTTTGCCATTGTGCGTTTATGCTATTGTGCATCTATGCCTCTGTGCCGTTCTGCTTTGTGTAAGCCGGGGACTATGCTGCAGATGTCCTGCGAAGACACAGCCATGAGAAGAGGAGTGTCTTAAAGAACGGGGTATGTTTATAGAATCATAGAATCATAGAGTTGGAAGAGACCTTTGATCCTGTAGACATGTGGAGTGGTAGCCGGCCACGCCGGGTGATGGCAACTGCATTGGCCGGTCTCTCTGTTAATGTGATCTCTGTCTGAGACGTCTCCAAAGGAATGCCCCTGAGAACACAGAAAGAGAATATATCAGAGCAAAAAACTACGAGACTTCATTCCGTTACAATTTTACCTTACTACCACAAAGTGCATGAAACCACCACAAAAGGTACACGGAGAAGATGGGGCAATGCTGACAGGGGATAGGGAAAAGGCAGAACTACTTAATGCCTTCTTTGCCTCGGTCTTCTCACAAAAAGAGAGTCTTCAACCTCAGCAAGATGGAGTGGATGAGGGATTGGAGGACATCCAACCCCAAATTGGGAAAGAAGTAGTCCAGGAATACCTGGCCGCTCTTAATGAGTTCAAGTCCCCAGGGCCAGATCAACTACACCCCAGAGTATTGAAGGAACTAGCGGAAGTCATTTCGGAACCATTGGCAACCATCTTTGAGAGTTCTTGGAGAAGGAGAAGTTCCAGCAGATTGGAGGAGGGCCAATGTGGTCCCAATCTTCAAGAAGGGAAAAAAAGGATGACCCAAACAACTACCGTCCGGTCAGCCTCACGTCGATACCAGGCAAGATTCTGGAAAAGATTGTTAAGGAAGTGGTCTGCAAACACTTAGAAACAAATGCAGTCATCGCTAATAGTCAACATGGATTTATCAAAAACAAGTCATGCCAGACTAATCTGATCTCTTTCTTCGATAGAGCTACAAGCTGGGTAGATGCGGGGAATGCCGTGGATGGAGCGTACCTGGATTTCAGTAAGGCCTTCGACAAGGTCCCCCATGACCTTCTGGCAAGGAAACTAGTCCAATGTGGGCTAGGCAAAACTACAGTGAGGTGGATCTGTAATTGGTTTAGTGGACGAACACAGAGAGTGCTCACTAATGCTTCCTCTTCATCTTGGAAAGAAGTGACAAGTGGAGTGCCGCAGGGTTCCGTCCTGGGCCCGGTCCTGTTCAACATCTTTATTAATGACTTAGATGAAGGGCTAGACGGCATGATCATCAAGTTTGCAGACGACACCAAATTGGGAGGGATAGCCAATAGTCCAGAGGACAGGAGCAGAATTCAAAACGATCTTGACAGATTAGAGAGATGGGCCAAAACTAACAAAATGAAGTTCAACAGTGACAAATGCAAGATACTCCACTTTGGCAGGAAAAAAACGAAATGCAAAGATACAGAATGGGGGATGCCTGGTCGAGAGCAGTATGTGTGAAAAAGATCTTGGAGTCCTCGTGGACAAACAAGTTAAACATGAGCCAACAATGTGATGTGGCGGCAAAAAAAGCCAATGGGATTTTGGCCTGCATCAATAGGAGCATAGTGTCTAGATCTAAGGAAGTAATGCTACCCCTCTATTCTGCTTTGGTTAGCCCACATCTGGAATATTGTGTCCAATTCTGGGCACCACAATTCAAGAGAGATATTGACAAGCTGGAATGTGTCCAGAGGAGGGCGACTAAAATGATCAAGGGTCTGGAGAACAAGCCCTATGAGGAGCGGCTTAGGGAACAGGGCATGTTTAGCCTGAAGAAGAGAAGGCTGAGAGGAGATATGATAGCCATGTATAAATATGTGAGAGGAAGCCACAGGGAGGAGGGAGCAAGCTTGTTTTCTGCTTCCTTGGAGACTAGGACGCGGAACAATGGCTTCAAACTACAAGAGAGGAGATTCCATCTGAACATTAGGAAGAACTTCCTGACTGTGAGAGCCGTTCAGCAGTGGAACTCTCTGCCCCGGAGTGTGATGGAGGCTCCTTCTTTGGAAGCTTTTAAGCAGAGGCTGGATGGCCATCTGTCAGGGGTGATTTGCATGCAATATTCCTGCTTCTTGGCAGGGGGTTGGACTGGATGGCCCATGAGGTCTCTTCCAACTCTTTGATTCTATGATTCTATGATTCTAATGGTATACCAGCTTCTATGAGGTTGAATGAAAAGTAATGCCTCCACCTTCGTTACTTGGGTTTGGATGGGAATATTTTAATAAATCAAATGCAGAAATAATCCTTAGAATGTGCTCTTTAACTACCACTATTCACTTTTCCACATAATCACCAGACAATTGGATACATTTCTGCCAATGATGAACAAGTTTTCTGAAGCTGTCACGGAAGAAGTTGACACTCTGTTTCCGCAACCAGTGGCTCACAGTTCTCTCAATGTCTTCATCAGAAGCCCGCATATCTTCTTTTGTTATCGGGAACAGATGGAAGTCAGACGGTGCTATATCTGGACTGTATGTCGGATGCCGTACGATGGTGAGATCCAGTTTCAAGTCTGTGCGATTTCATTTCAGGCGTCAGCATCCTAGGTACCCATTGTGCACAGATCTTCTGATAGCTAAGCAAAGCAATAATGTGACCCACACATTCTTGTGAAATGCCGAGTATGCTTGAAATTTCTCTCTGAGTGATACGATGATCGTCCTGAATCAATCTGTCAACCTTTTGCTTGTGAAACTCGGTGGTTGCTGTCATAGGACATCCAACTCTTTGTCTGCCATGCAAATCAGATGTTCCCACCTCAACATCTTTAAACTTACTCACCCAATGACGCACAGTACTAACATCAACACAATCACAATAGACAGCTTGCATTCTCTGATGACTCTCCTTTGGGGTGACACCTTCTGCTGCCAATAATTCAATGACTGCAAATTGCTTAAGTCGCATTGACCATCTGCTCAGGGTTCCATACTTTGCACTTTAACAACACAATTGTTCAATGCTCAGGCTTCCCACCAAAATGGAACTGTAGTGGAGAGTCTACTGAACAAGCCAGTACCTGCTGCATACCAGTACTGCCATCAGTTGAGGAGTTATGAAGGTGGAGATATTACTTTTCATTCAACCCTCGTACAAAGTAGGTGCAAAAACCTGAAGAACAGAAAGAACATCTTGCCCCACCCTTGCTGGAATGATGCATAAGGAATGTCTTCTGGCAAAGCAACAATGGCCTTGTTTGCTCTTGTGTTACACACCAATAGTCTAGCTTTCAATAGTACACTTTAATCTTGAACAACTGTTAATTGAGATTTTCTTGCTTTGGTCCATTCCTAGCACCTTGAAGCTCCAAACACCTTCTCCATAGGTTTTTACAACCACCCACTTTCCCTTTTTGGGGGGATACAAGAAGTGCTGGAAGAAGAGGAAGGGTTTCCTGATTTGGTGAAAATAGTAGAATTCAGCAGAAATACCAGACTGGATCCTGATCAGTGTTAATCATGTGTCATTTCCAATTTTATTGGGCTCCAAGAATATTGGTTAGGACTGCTGGAAAGTGCAATCTAACAATATCTGGGAGGCCGCACAGAACAGGACTGAGTATCCCTTATTCAAAATGCTTGAGACCAAGAATGGTTTAGATTTGGGATTTTTTTTTCAGTTGTTGGAATACCCTTACAGTCATACACACATATGATGGAATATCTTAAAGATGGGATCCACATCTAAACACAAACGTAAATGATATTTTAAAGGCACTTTATACACACATCCTGAATGTAATGTTATACGCTGATGGAAATTACAACTTTCTTCAAGCCTCCTGTAGTAATTTATTTATCTATAATCCTCTTGCTCACTTATTGTATGTATGTTTTGTATCCAGCTTTCTTTCCTTGCTCTATGTTTTCCTGAGAAGTTGTGGGAGGGGCTGCAGATCACGTGATCCGCTCTGAGAAAAGCATAGAACACAGACTTCTTTAGACTTTAGGAATTCTGAGATCACAGATTTTCAAACACTTGCCTGCTATTATTGGAAGAGAGATGTTCTTACCAGATGGCACAGAAACTATCTCAAACATATCTGTAACTGACGGATAAGTTGTGGCCTGTGTATGCTGAACACATGAAGGTTGTGAGTAAACCAAATATGTTATTTTTACCAAAGGCTACTTCATTTTTGTCTTGAGTGCATAATATAAAACAAGTTGTTTTATGGAAGAGTAGATATACTTTTGGGCACTGAAAAACACTTCTGAAGAACTATTTTTACGCACTGGCATATACTGTCACCTAACTTAGATCAGAGACAACAGATTGTTTCAGTTTAACAACTGAAGCCAATTGCCTTGCATAATTACATTTTGTTGTATACCACTGGAGAAGTTTCTACTCAAACGGGTTTTTGGCTCTTCTCTAAAAAGTTATGATCTCTAAAAGGTTGTGCTTTTATAAAATCTACAACATTTTAAAAATAATTTTGTGCATGAAACAAAGTCTGTTTAGACCGAAACAGCAGAAAGCAAAAGTGTCACAGCCTCAGTCACTTATATAGACAATTTTGGAATTCCAGACAACAAATGCTCAACCTGTATACAGAAACACTATGTCCCATTTTTAAAGTAATCATCATACACCCCATGCAACAAATTAAGGGTTCTTACCATCTGGAAATGTGTCTTGGACTCAGTAGCTCAGCATCAGTTGCGGAAATAGTTAGCACAGATCTGTTTACGGCACTTAAATACTTCTCAGCTTGTTTCTGTTCAAGGATGGAGGAAAGGAAAAAAGGAGGCTATTAGAGTGTTATAAGTGCGATTTAATTATTTATGTATTTGTTGTTGTTGTTGTTGTTGCTGGTGCTGGGATTTGACGTTGGAATGAAAGACACAAGGTCTACATGATTCAATTATATCAAGACGCCAGCTTAGGCTTTGGATGACAGTACAGGGCACATCAAACTGTTTACTCTATGGAAAGGGAAACATATACATAAGCTTTGGCTATTTCAATTAATGAGAAAAAAAACATTAACCCAGACTTCCTTGCAGGCCACCTTCTGCTTTTTGCTATCCACTTACCCTCAGCCCACTCTCAGTCCTTTCAATTGCGTTTTCGAAGACCTGAGCTCCATCCCAATCGTGGCTGACCTCTCGCAGCTTCGTCTTCAGTTGTTGCAGGTCTTCTTGTACCTAGAAAATTAATGGAAGCTTTTGCCCAACATATATATCATCAAACCGATGTGTTTTCCTAAAATCTAATGTTTAACAGATTTCTTAAACAGAAACACCCCTTAGACACCTCTGCAAAGTTGTAGAACAGAGAAAGGGAAAGAGAAGGCTGATGGATTGCATGGATAGGTATTTTTTATTTACAGTCTTTAGCTTTACCCCAAAAAAGGGAAATGCTAAAGAATGCTCAAGCTTTCATACAGAAGCACTAATTTCACATGCCAGTAAGGTAATGCTCAAGATCCTGTAAGGTAGACTCCAGCAAGATATGGAGCGAGAGTTGCCGGATGTTCAAGCTGGGTTTAGAAAAGGCAGAGGAACGAGAGACCAAATTGCTAACATCCACTGGATAATGGAGGCAGGGAGTGTCAGAAAAATATCTATTTCTGTTTTATTGACTATTCTAAAGTCTTTGACTATGTGGATCATAATAAATTGTGGCAAGTTCTTGGTGGTATCGGGATACGAAGTCACTTTGTCTGTCTCCTGAGGAATCTGTATAACAACCAAGTAGCATCAGCAAGAACAGACCATGGAACAACAGACTGGTTCAAGATAGGGAAAGGAGTACGGCAGGGCTATATACCCTCATCTGACCTATTCAATATGTATGCAGAACACATCATGCGAAGTGCGGGGCTTGAGGAATCCAAGACTGGAAACATTAACAACCTTAGATATGCAGATGATACCACTCTGATGGTTGAAAGCGAGGAGGAACTGAGGAGCCTTCTAACCAAGGTAAAAGAAGAAAGGGCAAAAGCTGGGTTGTAGTTAAACATTAAAACAACCAAGATGATGGCTACCAGACTGATTGAGAACTGGCAGTAGAGGGAGAAAACATGGAGGCCGTGACAGACTTTGTATTTCTAGGCATGAAGATTACTGCAGAAGAAGACTCCAGCCAGGAAATCAGAAGACGTTTGCTCCTTGGGAGGACAGCGACCAATCTCGATAAAATAGTGAAGAGACATCACACTGGCAATGAAGATCCACATAGGTAAAGCAATGGTATTCCCTGTAGTCACTTATGGATGTGAGAGCTGGACCATACGGATGGCTGAGTGAAGGAAGATAGAAGCTTTTCAACTGTGGTGCTGGAGGAAAATTCTGAGAGTGCCTTGGACCACAAGAAGATCAAACCAGTCCATACTCCAGGAAAGAAAGCCTGAGTGCTCACTGGAGGGAAGGATAGTAGAGACAAAGATGAAGTCCTTTGGCAACATAATAAGAAGACAGGAAAGCTTGGAGAAGGTAATGATGCTGGGGAAAATGGAAGGAAAAAGGAAGAGGGGATGTCCAAGGACAAGATGGATGAATGGTATCCTTGGAGTGACTGGCTTGACCTTGAAAAAGCTGGGGTTGGCTGCTGGTCCAGGAGGTCACAAAGAGAGGGAAGCAACGTAATGAATAAACAACAAACATAATCAACAACAAAAAGCTTTCTCTGCCAAACTACAACTCCCGCATCCCATAGTATTGAGTCATGGCAGTTGAAGTGGGGTCAAACTATCTTAATTCTACAGTGTAAATGCACTCAGTAGGGCTTATTTTGGAGAAGCCTACAAAGGCTTCCACTCCGCAGCTACAGTGGTATAAACCATTCAGATTAAACCCCAATTAAACTTTCTTTTGAATAAACATACAGAAAGCACTACTAGCTTTTTTAACATACAGCCCCCAAAGGACACTGGGAAAACACGGCATAGTAAATCCACAGTCAAAAAACATATTTATATTTCTATTCTGCATCAAATTAAAATTACAATTAAGAGCTTGAGCCAAACAACACAAACTCATGCTGCTTTGGATATGCAGCACTGGCATCTTGCAGGGAAAGAGAGCAGTCTTCAATGTGTTCCGCTTTGCATACTGTCACCAAGGTAAAGGAACCCATGGCTTGCAGATGTTGCTGTATTACAGCTCCCATCAGCCACGGCTTGCACAGCCAATAGCCAAGACAGACAGAAAATGTGATTCAACATGCAAGATGGATATAAAATTAAAATACAATTCATACAATGAATTGTGTTGATTTGATATAATGTTAAATACAGTTAAAATACATTCACAAATATTTGTTAAGTTTTTTGATTTCTCTTATTTTAGATATGCATTAGGCTGTGTCATGTGATCATGAGCCACCTTGAGTCCCGATGGGGAGAAAAGTGGAATAGGAATAAAACTGATAATAATAACAATAATAATGATAACAATGGTGAGAATAATAATGCTTCCTGCACCAGTATTGCAACAACAAAGCCTAACAGTGAACTGAAATGGAAGTTTTGGAGGAACAAATGAATGCTGAAGCAGACAGGATCCCAAACATTGAGAACATTGTGTTGTCGAAGGCTTTCGTGCCAGAATCACTGGGCTACTGTGAGTTTTCCAGGCAGTATGGCCATGTTCCAAATGCATTCTCTCCTGACATTTGACCCACATCTATGGCAGGCAGGCATCCTCAGAAGTTGTGAGGTATATTGTGTCGCGATAAAGATTAATATTTAGACACACACAGATGTAAGCTTTCTCCCTCCAACTAAGGAGCAAACTCACACGTTTGTCTTGTAGCTGAGTTTGTACAAAAACATATATACAGAGTCCAATTCTTCTCCTCAAGCCATTTTACTTAACTTAAGTGACCCCTCATTGTCGGAGTAAGATTGTCCTCCAAGTGTGGTGTCCTGGTGGTGGGTACGTAGGTGACTGTGGAGCTCTATTCTTGACCCGCATGTTCTTCCTCTGTGGGGGCATCAGTTTCCAGGTGGAAGGCAGTCCTGGTCGGGGTTGGCTTGATGTGCCTTCCTCTTGGCACATTTCTCTCTTTCGCTCTCCATTCATGCCTCTTCAAATTCTACAGCACTGCTGGTCACAGCTGACCTCCAGTTAGAGCGCTCAAGGGCCAGGGTTTCCCAGTTCTCAGTGTCTATTCCACAGTTTTTAAGGTTGGCTTTGAGCCCATCTTTAAATCTTTTTTCCTGTCCGCCAACATTCAGTTTTCCATTCTTGAGTTCGGAGTAGAGTAACTGCTTTGGGAGATGGTGATCGGGCATTCGGACAACGTGGCCGGTCCAGTGGAGTTGATGGCGGAGGACCATCGCTTTATTCCTGGTGGTCTTTGCTTCTTCCAGCATGCTGACATTTGTCCGCCTGTCTTCCCAAGAGATTTGCAGGATTTTTCGGAGGCAACACTGATGGAATCATTCAAGCCACAAGCCTATCAGAACTCCAATACCTTCGCAAAAACCTCCAGCCTTTCAACACCTCCAAACTCCTTCCAACACCACCAAACTGCTTCCAGCACCTCCAACTATCTCCACAAGGAGTAACTCTTTTTTACTCCTTTATTATCCCAGCAGTTACCCCATTCTGGCTGCAACTACTCTTCAATGCTTGCCAGGTGGCCCGGCTCCCACTCCCTGCTGCACTGATCCTTGCACTACTTGTTACTTGTTACTTAAGAAACATATTGAAGACTAGGCAAGTGAGGTTTATATATCTGTGCAATGTCCAGGGTGGGAGAAAGAACTCTTGTCTGTTGGAGGCAAGTGTGAATGTTGGAATTAAGCACTGAGAACATTGTAGGGCAGGGATGAAAACAATGCCACCCTCCAAATGCTGTTGGTTGGTCCGCAATGCCTCACCATTGGTGGCATTGACTGGGGCTGCTGGGAGGTACAGTGGGCTGCAGGAGGCCTGCCCCAGTTCTATGGCGGTATCACTCCATCACTGGTGTCTTGAATATTGGTGCTGAATGGGGCCCATCCAAAGTAGCTAACTCTCCCTCTCGGGAGAACAGTTATATTATGTGAGATGGACAAATTGACAAAGTTGGTCAAGGGGAGATCCGTGATGAAGACTAAGAAAGACTGGGGCTCATTTATCATTTCCTTATGGCAAAGATGGGAGCCAACTTCAACGACCGGTTTTCTGATTTAGAAGAGAAATGTAGGATATGACTTAGGCAGGAAAAATGAAATGCCCCATGGATTCCATGGGGGGAAAATATTGGAATCTTAGCGGACAACAAGTTGAACATGAGCCAAGAATGTGATGCAACAGCTTAAAAAGCCTATGGGAATTTGGGGTGCATCAGAAGGGATCTAGTTTCCAGATCAAGGGAAGTCCTGGTGCCTCTCTATTCTGCTTTGGTCAGACCTCTTAACCTGAAATAATAACCCTGTGTCCAATTCTGGGCAAAGCAATTCAAGAGAGATATTGACTCTAAGGTGGAAAGTGTCCAGAGAAAGAGGCCGACTAAAAAGATCAAAGATTTGGAGACCATTAATCCCTCTGAGGAATGTCTTAAAGACCTGTGTCTGTTTAGCCTGCAGAAGATAAGCTTGAGAGAAGACATGAGAGCCATTTTTACATATTTGAAAGGATGAAAAAAGGAAGAGGGATCAGGCTTCCTTTCTGCTGCCCTGGAGACTAGGATTCAATGGAGCCATGGATTCCAATGCCAGGAAAGGAGATCCCACCTGAACATTAGGTAGAACTTCCTGATGGTCAGATCTGTTCAAATAGTGGAACTATCTGCCTCGGAGTCCAGTGGTGGCTCCTTCCTTGAAGGCTTTTAAACAGAGGCTGGATGCCCATCTGTTGGGGGTGCTTTGATTGTGCATTTCCTGCATGAAAGCAGAATGGGGTTGGACTGGATGGCCCTTGGAGTCTCTTCCAACTCTAGGATTCTATTATTCTGTTTGAGGGGTGGAGCAGAAAATAATAAACAGAAGCAACAGTGTGAGGCCTATAGACTAATTCTTGTTGTCACATCTTGTGTATCTTGTTGTATTGATAGTATTTTATCTCTTGTTTTAACAATATTGTACCTTGCATCAAGCCACAAAGAAATGAGGACAATAGTTTATTATTATTATTATTATTATTATTATTATTATTATTATTTGTTTAGTATGTGTTTAAGTTTGTTTAGGATAGAAGGGTTGTTTTATATA